ACGTATGGGCGCAAAAACGGTCGTCACGTCATCCGATGGGTGAGTGAAGCCATGGAGGGATAGTTTGCGAAGACCTGGCATACAGTCGACGATCGTTTGCACGCAATTGTCGCTCATGTGTATAGAGCTAAGTGTTAGCGAACGGAGTTTATCGCACCGCCGGAGCTCTTGGATGTCCCGCTCGTCGACGTAGACGTAGTTCCAGTTGTGAGTCAACCCAATCGACAACTCTTTCAAACGGATCAGACGCGAGACCGACGCGAACACCGCTGTCAACGAGTTGTGGTCACTGTTTATCATCAGATCCACGGATAGTCTCCTGAGTGTCGAGAAATTGTCGGCAATTATAGGCATGCATTTGGGATCAGATCGCGTGACGTCCAGTTCGTACAGTCGGTTGAGCCGTTTGCGGGCCAATCGGTCGACAGCCGTCGCGTTCAAGAGATCGCCCGATGTTTTGATGCCACAGACGCCGGCACTCATGCGCTCAAACACATCGCCCCGATATCGGCGTTTAATCGGCTCTTTCAATGTGAACCACTTGAGCGCTCGCAACCCTTTCAATAGTAAACCAATGGCCGATTCGCTGATCACTATATTATCGGTGCCGTCAACGCAGAACTCTTGCAAATTCGGGTACTTCTTGACCACCATTTGAATCTCTTCGCGAGTAATAACAAACTTATTGTTATTAAAGTAGTAAATGTCGAGTGAGTGGATGTCGGCGTCGCACCGGCGGCACAGGGCGTCCACGACATCGGTGTTAAGTTCCCTAACGGTTGCGTTGAGAGACACGATGTAATGATATTTGCCGACAATCTGTGCGATCGCCCGGCGCTTCGCTTTACGGTCAGAGTTTTGCGGTATAAAGTCCTCCAGAAAGACACAGTCCTCGTGAGCGCACACCTCGTCGGCCGCTCGACGGAAGACGAGTCCGCTCTCGTCGATAGTCAACGAATGTTTGGTCGCAAAGACACCGACAACTAGTTGTCGCCATTGAGTGCACACTCTTTCGGCCATAAGTCGTGATTTGAGGTCCAATTTGGACAGAATTATGGCCAGAAGTTCGTTGGGAAGCATATCATTGATGTTTGACTCGATTTCTATGCCCATCAAAGGCTCAGTTCTGTTGTCACTTCTATTCATTTTTAAGACACTTGTCATCACTTCAATGGATAACTTGAGAAGATTTAGAAGACTTTTATTTGTATTGTCGTTGAGTTTGTATTTCTAATCAATTCTTCTCTTTATTACACAAAATGTCATTAACTGTCAGTTGTTTTGAATATGGATTCAAATTTGTATTTTAATTGTTGGCATTTTCTTCGGTCAAAATTAATTCACATTTTTATTGCACAACGTTTTATAGTAACAGTAATTTGTTGGCAATGAATGTCTCGCGAGAAACATGAATAATGGAAACAGAAATTTGAATTCATATTTAAAACTGAAGTTTGATTTCGTAATAAAGAGTGAAATCGATTTGAAATACAAACTCAAACACAAACCAAATAAAGACAATTATAAGACATTAAGTGTTCGTTGAAGTGATTACAAGTGTCTCAGAAATGAGTGGACGCGAGACCAGAGTTGAGCCATCGGTGGTGACAACGGAACCGATTGATAAGACAGTGGTTGAGATGACAGTTGCGGAGCCGAACATCAATGATATGCTTCCCAACGAACTCTTGGCCATCATTTTATCCAAACTGGACTTCAAATCGCGATTAATGGCCGAAAGAGTGTGCACTCAATGGCGACAACTAGTCATCGGTGTCTTTGCGACTAAACATGAGCTGAGTATCGACGAGAGCGGACTCGTCCGTCGTCGAGATGCGGACGAATGCTACCAATGCGAGGACAATGTCTTTCTCGAAGACTTTATGCCCGAAACCACTTCTCGTAAAGCGAAGTGTCGAGCGATCACACAAATTGTGGCCAAATATCATCACATCGTTTACTTGAAGGCAACCGTTAAAGGACTCAATAGAGACGTCGTGGACGCCCTGTGCCGCCGGTGCGACGCCGACATCGACACTCTTGACATTTACATCTTCGGCAACAATAAGTTTGTCATCACTCGCGAGGAGATCCAAATGCTGGTCAAGAAGTACCCAAATTTGCAGGAGTTTTGTATCGACGGCACCGATAAAATAGTGATCAGCGAATCGGCCGTTGGTTTACTGTTGAAAGGGTTGCGAGCGCTCGAGTGGTTCACATTGAAAGAGCCGATTAGAGGCCGATATCGAGGCTTTGCGTTTACTCGCCTTAACGCCGGCATTCGGAGCATCAAAACGTCTGGCAATCTCTTGAATCCGAAAGCTGTCCACCGGTTGGCCCGCAAACAGCGAAAGCATTTGCGCGAACTGGTGGTCAGCCGCTGTGATCCCAAATGTATGCCTATAATCGCCGACAATTTCCAGACATTAAGACGTCTCACAGTGGAGTTGAAGGCAGGCACTCATCACAAACACTCGTTGACACCGATATTTGAGTCGCTCTCACGTCTGGTTTCTTTGAAAACA